CTTAATACATAGTGGCATAGAAGAAGAAATGAGCCTGAAATGAAACTTTTGACGTAGCTTTAACAGTTGTATCCTTAGAGATCAGATCTGTTGTTTTCTTCTTGTGGCTCTTTGGTATTAGCTCTAGAACAGTCCCCGCGTTGATGTCAGCATCTGAGTGTCTTAGTATCAGGGACACCTCTTACACTCACTCATATCTCTCTCAGCATTCAATAGTGTAATTAAGACCCGTATCAAAGTTACTTAAATCCTGGATAATAAGAACGGGAAGAATTAACAGTGCCAGCTTGGATTAAATGGTTTAGAGCTCACTGCACGAAATGTCGGGTATTGGAGATCTGTAAATGCACTTTTCATGGGGATAAGGGAAGCTGACAGCCCCTTAAACTGAATGAGTAAAGGCACTAGTTCATTTTCCTATCTACCTTTTTTAGGATGGCCCACTCCTACCCCCAAAAAGGTAAAAACAACAAAATAGAGATTCCCTTATGAATGTGAACGTGTGTATTTATAAAGTAATCTTAAACTCAGGGTAAGAATCATTTTAGTTTCCCCTTTACTGCAGCCACATTTTAAGTACCATATACAATGGAAATGTTATTCATTTAAATTTGGAAATCAATTGACCACAACCTTCATTCACCCATGACACAGTTGACGAATGACATTTCCATGCATAATATAGTCCTGTGTCTTAAAAAATTCCCATTGTGCCAGCTGTAACGATACCCTCAGTGCTTTCCCAGCCCAAGAATGCAGAGGAACAGACACATTCAGAGTGATTTATTATAGTAATAACCTAAGCCTGTTCTAAATTGTTTTTATAAAAACAGTACTTTGAAATTTGGAGGAACAAGCAATAGTGACAACTGGTTGCAACATTTCTGTCTCACACTGCAATTGTAGTAGTGTTGTGTTTAAAAGCAGGTAGATAATTGTCTTCATCTTCAGACGGGTGTTGCTGGCAGCAGGCATTGAGTGCGGCTTAATCCTATGCACAGCTGAAGAAGTGGATTTTGGCTCTTCATGAAAGCAAATAG